GGCTATCTAAGAAAAACCTAGCTTTCTTTTCCTTATGACTTTGAGGGAGTTTGCTTCTAGGCGAGTTACCCTTTTGTCAGATTTTTAGTCCTTCACCATTTAGGCATTCTTCAAGCGATCGCATATGATATTTTTTTGAAAAATATAGTTACGTTGTTTTGTGATAAAATTATACTAGGCTTAACTAGGTGTACAATCATAACATAATTAACCTACATTTAGTGCAAAAGAATAGCTAAAATAATAGGAACCTGAACCTGAAGGATCATGATCAATCTCACATTCATGCTTGCTTGCTCTAACATGAAGTCGTTTAACTACATATAATGAGCTCAAGAGCACAACAAGTAATCAAATCCTACAAATAAACTCAATGCACAATAAAGAAGAATATGCATGTCAGTAATTAAATCAAAGTAGTAGTAATCACATGATTATGAATCAGTGTAGAAATAATAAAGCTCACAAGCACCAGTATTAGAATATGTAAATAATAAAATAGTATGATATGGAAGGCAATAAAATAGTATAATGTGGAAATCAGTAAACCAGCACATGAGTCGAATCAATAAAGTTGTTGTCGTATTAGTACAGTCAATCAATAAATCAATCGTATAAGCGATAAAACCAAAGCATCAATAAAGAATTATCTAACTCAGATCAATGCAGTAAAATCCTATAATTATGAAGACATGTTATTCAACACGTCACATGCTCAATATATCCAATATTAGTATAATGAATCAGTAGTATTAAATAGTACCAATGTATGCATTGATAATAGTAAAACCAATGGCAATAGCAGTAAAATAATAATATAATAGTAAATTTGTGCATTGACAAGAAACATGTATAGTAATAGGAATAATGCCTCAATAATATATAATTTAGTAGTCATACTAAATAAATGAGAAGTTATGGTTTAAGAGATATTTTTTTCAGTATCATATCAGTATTAGTAAACAATTGGCTCAGTAAATAGAGTCATCACTCTTTACCCATCGACATAGTAATCATCTTTTTATAGCTCCAAACCAGTTTATCATGTGAATCAGTCAATGATAACTCAAAATTATATATTTAAAGGAAAACTCGACGAGCCACCACCTTTTACATGTCAATCAATCTATAGTCAACATCAATAAATAACCATTCTTTACTTTTTTTTTTCTTTACACACACATTATTATCACAATATTATATTATTGACCTCCCTTTTGGCATTTGTCACTTACACTATTTTCTCGCTTGTATTTAATAATTTGATCCACCTTCATGCATGTTGCACTACTATGTTTGATAAATGGTCACATCGTGTATTTTATCTCAATTCATCGCTGGCTTTGAGAATTTGTTTTATTTTGATCACATATCATCATTTATCTTGTTTTAAAATATATGAGATTGAGTCAACGTCGATTTGATGAGTATTTAACATGGGTTTAAGCCCTTCCATGTGCATCTTCATTTGTGTATAGTTTTTTTTTTATTAGGACCTTATTTTGCAAAATAGATTTCACCGTTTTGTCCAACTCATCGAGACGGATCAAATGAGCTCACGCTTGAATCAAGTATCATTTGATGTGTGTCAAAGAGAGAGTGGTAATTATTATTATTATTATTTCAAGTATAAAATAAAAAGAGAAGTTTATTTTATGTTATAGTGCTATGATAATAATGTATGTACATGGAAATATAAATAAAGACTGATTATTTACTAACGTTGGTTAGAAATTGATTGACCTATATAAGATAGTGAGCTGACAGGCTTTCCTTTGAATATCATGATTTGGTGTTATACTCTACTGATTCACATGATACTAATTTAGAGTTATAAAAAGATAATTACTTCATTGACGGGCAAAGAATGACGTCTATGTTTACTAAGCCAACGATTTAATGATACTACTGATACTAATACTAAATTGAAAAAAAAAAAAAATTAAGTTAGGACTTCTTATTTGTTTAATGTGACTACTAAAATATATGTTATTGATTCATTGTTACTGTTACTGTATGATTTCACTGCTTTACTGTATGAATTTAATGTTACTGTCATGAATTTTACTAACGACACTGATACATATATCAATATTGTTTGATACTATTATTGATTCACTATACTGATTACTGATATTGATTCATTGAACTGATATTGAGCTTGTGATATGTTGAACATGTGATTAAGATATTAATTTGATACTTATATAAAATAATTGAATAATATGTGTACCTTATTATAAAATTTTATTGTATTGATATGATTACGATGGTCATTATCGATGCTTTGTTTTTACTACTTTATATGATTTCTTTGACGATTGATAGTACTGATACGAAGACTGTTTTATTGATTTGGCACACACTGGTTTATTGGTTTCCCCACCATATTGGTTTACTAGCTTCAATTTCATAATATTTTACTATGCATATTCTACTACTATTGTATGTAAATTTTTAATATTTCTACATTGATTCATGATCATATGACTGGTACTTTTATACATTGATTGATGATATGCATATCATTTTTTTACTGCTTTGAGTTAGTTGTATGATTGGATGCCAACTAGTTTTTTAGCGCATTATGTGGTTTAAATGATTTCAGGCCAAGGCAGACGATCAGGTGTGTGTGAGATTGATCATATTAGGATTCTTTAGGTTTAATGTTAGTTTATTTCTTGTTTTTTTAACTATTCTTTTGCATTCAGGACTAATGATGATATATTGTGATTGTATATATCCCGAGTAGTGTACATGATTTTTGAGAAAATGAATATATATATATATATAGTTGTTATTTATATTGATTAAATAAATTAGATAGTTGTATTTGTTGTATATTAAAAGATAAAAATAATTTTTCTAAATTTGATCTTGGGCATTACACCTCTGACCTCTATTGGCTACATACTATATACAATCCATCCAACCTCCGTTAGACGCAAATTATAGTCTCTTCGGCCTCTGTCACATGACAACAATCCCTTTGACCTCAGGCACCCGGTTGAGTTCCATCCGACCTCTATCACCCGACTACGGTTCTTCCAACCTCCATCACCCACTAACTATGGTTCCTCCCACCTAAGTCGTGTGGCTACAGTCCCTCTGACTTTAGTCGTCTTCCCACTATACTTTTACAAACCAATGTCGATTGATAACAATCCATTGGATCTCAGTTACCTTACTATGATCCTTTCGACCTCTGTCACTTGTCAATTATGGTCCATTCGACCTCCATTTATGGCTGCAAAATTATCGAACTGAGTCGAGCATGTGAGTGCTCATGTTTGAGTTTGTTTATTATCAGCTTGTTCAAGTTCGGTTCGTGTTTGATTTGAGCTTTATTGTTAGTGTTCATGTTTGGTTCATTTAAATTAATGTGTGTTCATGTTCAGTTCATGTATAGTTCGTTTAGTGCTTGTCGAGCTTTAAACAAATAAGCCTTAACGAGCTATGTTAATGACCATATTTAGCAAAAAATTTCAAACTATTAAACAAGCACATTCATGAACATATCTAAATAACGAGCTTTAATCGAACTAAGCACGAGTAGCTCGTCGAACGCTTGGTTTGCTTGTAGCCCTACCTCCATTGCTTGTTGACTTTGGTCCATCCGATCTCTATCACCCGACTATGGTCCATTTGATCTCTGTCATCCGACAACGACCTATTCGACCTTCGTTGTTTGACTACACTCCCTCTGACCTCCGTCACCTGACTAACGGTTCTTGCAATCTCAGTCGCCCGACTATGATCTCTCTGACCTCCGTCGCCCGACTACGATCCCTCCAACCTCCGTCGCTCGATATTGGAATCATTCCAACTGGGCAATGCATCGTAGTTTTTCCCTTTTTAGGATTTCCACCTAAAGATTTTGGTGTCTCTCATAACTCTTGCATCTCTCTTTCTCTTATGCATGTGTGTATTGGATCTTTATATAAAACTAGTATGTTAAACATAATATCTCTCTACTGCCATGAATGTTCCAACATGAAACAATACTTATGTATGTGCAACATCTAAGTCGTATTATATAATAATTTAATTATATTTATATAATAGTTTAAGTAAATTATGTAAAAGATTAATTATATTTAGAGGTAATACTTGTCATACCAAATTTATGATTTATATCATAAAAATAATCATATTCTATATAAAACGAAAAAGAATTATCAAAATATATTTTTTTAAGAAATACCTATTAATTATTTATAAGAAAAACATTTACGTGATAGATTGTATGCTTTGGATTAGGGGTGCAAACAAACTGAATTGATCTCAACTCGTAAGCCGAATTATGAGCTCGAACCCGAGTCGAGGTAGAACTCGAACTCTAATCGAGCTCAAAAGGCTAGCTCGAGTCGACTCGTGCCATTGAAATCGAGCTCGCGAGGCTTCCGCGGTCCGCCTGTTTGCCTTCCATAGTTTTAATCCATATCGCAATGTCTTCCGCAATTTGCACGCGACACCCGCAATTCATTTTTCCGTGCGAGTGGATGCTCCGGAAGAGGTGAACGGTGAACTCAAGCTAGCGATCCATCTTTCACAATTCACACGCAGATGCCCAGGCCTCAATTTGTCTTTCGTGCGCAAATATGCCAAGGCCACGATTCATCTTCCGCACATATGCACAGGTGTGGATGCTCGCATGGGCCGTGATTCATCTTCTGCGTGGGATAATCGAGCAGCTCGACGAGCAATCAAGCCGAGTATTATCAGGCTCAAACTCGAGCTCAATGATCCAACGAGTTCAAAACTTGATAAGCTCAACTCAAAAGACCATAAATGAGTCGAGCTCAAGGCTCGACCCCAACTTTCAATTACTGTTATGAACTGAAATGAGTAGTGGAATCCCACCAGAATAGTTACACGCATCTTGAAAGCATCCAAGGGCAATAACCCACTTTCTCTACGTTGCTGTTCAAAAGCTCAGTAGGATTCTCACGGTCCCATAACTTCAACTGCGATCCCAGGTTCCCGCGCCGAAAACACAAAGCTGTTCCACTGCGTTTCATCTCCCATGAAGCGATACCACGCTTGCGAATTGAGGAAATCGCAAAAGGCAGGAAAAGAGAAAAAGACGCAGGTCTTCGTCATTCCGCAAAACCCTAAATCCTCATTCATTAAACCAAATTCCTTGCTTGCTTGATGGGGCGTCCTAAAGAGTGTAAAAGCAAAAAGCAAAAAGGGGAAAAGAGAAAAGCCGTCGGTGTTCTCTTTTCTTTAACTGAAATGCAGCCACTTCCGTCTTCGATCCTGGTCCCATTCATATCTCTGCTGTTTGTCGTCGGCAGCTTAGTCGCAGAGAAGCAGGCGGAGAGGCTGATTGGCTTCACGAATGGCGAGCACCAGTGGAAGCAGGACATCCGGGGAGGGCGGGTTGGAGAAGACGCTGACGAGGAAGATGACGCGGTTGTCAACGATGCTCGATGGCGGAGAGGAGGAGCCGACTGCGGACAGCGAGCTGGTTCCGTCATCCCTTGGTTCGATTGTTCCCATTCTCCGCGTTGCTAACGAGATCGAACGGATGAACCAGAGAGTCGCTTACCTATGTGAGCTCTTTGCATCCTCTTTCGATTTTTTTTCTCTTTCTCACTTTCATTATCTTTTTTCATTGGATCGGAACGCTTGTTGGCTTATCGAGCGTGCTGGCTGCTGTCGCTGTTGGCTTTTGCTTTAATGAAGCTTGTTAGAAGTCGACAACTACCAAATTTTATGAATGAAACTGTTTCATAGTTAATAACCTAGTGAGGGTGAAATCGACAATCGTAGTAGAGGAAGAACTGCTAGTTGTTTTATTAAAAAAAAAAAAGGAAGTCCGAAGATTCAGATAATTCTAATAATAATTAAGAAAAATGGAGCAAGGAGGCTATTGGCGGTGACAAATTTTCCATTTTCAGCTTGTTCGCGAGTTCAAACATCATTTTGTTGGGCATATGGGTGCATTGCACAGAATGTGCTTGCCAGGGTTATGGTTGTGCATTTTAGCCAGAATTAGATAACATGATCATGTTATTATGGCTTTTGTTTACCTGCAGGGACTTGCACAATGATATTTGTGTATTGCCTTGGTACTTTCTTTGTTCAGAACTGATGTTGTACTGCTCAGAATTTTTTGTGAGCCTCTTTTGCGACATGCAAGTTCACTTTTAAGTTTCTGTGATTTTTTATCGCCGTAGGATGCATTAATCTGAAGATTAGAGACATCAAACTTAATGGAACAACAATAGAATCTGATATCTATGCCTTTTGGTCTATTTTTATCTATATAGTCTTTTTGTGTTAAATAAAAGATGATACTTAAAATTCTTTGATATTTCAGGTCTATTGTTAGAAGTGATGGTGAAATAGATAGGGATATTATTAGTAGAATTCATATTGGATGGTTGAAGTGGATGAATGCATCAGACTTCTTGTGTGATAAAAAAGTACCCCTCAAACTTAAAGAAAATTCTATAAGATGGTGGTGAGACCTGCAATGCTTTGTGGCACAAAATGTTGCCCATTACGTTAAGTTTTGCAGAGATGAGGATGCTTAGGTGGATGAGTGGCTTCACTCTTGGGGATAGAATGTGAAACAAGTATATACGTGAAAAGGTTAGAGTAGCTTCAATGATAGATAAGATTAGAGAGAGTCGCCTTAGATTTTGGTCACATAAAATGTGGACCTTCTGATGGCCCGGTTAGGAGAGTAGATGCATTAGATTTGACCTATTTAAGAAAGGTGACTCTTAACATGACACAATGGAGAAAATGAATTCATGCAGTTGATCCCAGTGTGATAAAGGCTTGATGATGTCCTTGTATTTAAGGACCTTAACCATTTTGAGTTATTGAGGCCAACTCATTCTCATTTGAACTTTACATAGAAATAAAATTGCATGGAGCACTCGATATGCTTTTGGACTAAGGGCTGTCACATTAATTGAAGATTTTTTTTTTCATTAAATTTGTAATTACATATATGATAACATCTACTTCCATGCACAAATTTTTATTTTCCAAAGTTAGGCTATAAAAGTAGCATGTGGACAGGAAAAAAAGAAAATACCAAGTATCTATGACCTAAATATGTTTTCAAAGCTGTAAATGGAAATAGTTCTTAAGGCCATATTTTTATACTTGAATATTTCAAGTATTTTAGTTAAACATGAATTTCAACATATATTTGTGAGTCTCATTATTTTCTATTTTCTTAAAGTGCTTATAATAGTAGAACAAAGATTACATATGATTTACAATTTTGATTATTGTCATTTGAATTATTACCAATCATTAATATTTTTAAAAGACAAATTGAAAACATAGGTGTAATAGTTTTAAGTATTTTGTATCTATTATACAAAAGAATGAGCATATAAGTAAGGACATAACTTCTAGAGTTGAATTTGTATGGTTAAAATGTAAGTCTTTTGAAAGTATTGTGTGATAAGAAGATGTCGCTTTAAGGAAAATTCTGTAAAATGTAATTAGGGTGCTTATGTTGTATGGATCTTAGTGTTGGGTAATGAAAACAATCATTGATAGCTAAATCAAGAGTGACATAAATGATAATGTAAGTTGAATGTGTGAAATAGGTACATTTATATGCAATGATTATATTAGAGGGGCAATTCGAGCAATATCTATTGAAGAGAAGGTATGTGAAAAAGACTTCGATGATTTGGACATTAACACCTTATGTGGTATTGAGCAAGAAAATAAAATAAGGATTCATAAAGCCAACCTCAAAAAGTTGGGATAAGGCTATTGAGGATATGATGACAATTTCTTAAGCATGGATTATATAGCATTGGGATCCTAGAAACTTATTTTTGACTCCTTAAGAGAGGGAGTTCTAGCTTTTTGAAAGTGTATGTACAGCTATAGGAAAAAGTAAGTGATTGCAACAATTTGCTGCTCTAATAGTCTTTGGCTGTCCACTTCATCAAGTTATTAATCTCATGATCATTTTTTACTTGAAAAAAGTAATAATACTTAATGAAAATTAAAGTGATGGTGAATAAAAGTGAAACTCATTGCTGCCCAAGCAAATAAATGAAATTTGTTAACAATATGTAAATTCTTGCAAAATAAATAAACATCACTGCAGCTGTTTTTGATAATTGTGATCCAAACACTTGCATTGAAATAAACTAGCCCTTGGTTTTTGGGGACATTATATAATTACTTGGTTATGGTTGTGAAAACCAGTTGATCGGTCATATATATCACTAGAAGTACTATGAAATGGGCTGAAATATATAATTGAGTGACCATATGTCTATTAGCACAATGGAAAGGGCTGAAAGACATGATTTATATGCTTGCTTAATTGAAAGGATCATCATATTTTATTTAGATTGTGGTATAGAAGATTTGACCTCAAAGAGCCTCCCATGTGGTTTGAACACTAGACCCTTCTATGGAAAAGTGCGAAGATATTTGATGCTTGCTTGAAGAAATTGTTTTATTCATCACACCCAATGTGCTAGAAGATAGTTTGGCTCTAAAACTAGCATTGTGAATCCCATGAAGTGTGGATAGTTTGAGGTGGCTGCCATGTCAACATTGCACCTATGATGGGAGGATGAGCAAACGTTGCAGGCCACCTATTGGGCATGCAACTTGTATTTGATATTTTGTTTGTTTTATAAAAATGCCTCGTAACCACTTTTTAAAGATCCCTTGAACCTGACATTGATGTATTGTGGTCACAAATTATTAGCAAACTATGTCACTCTAAGCGAGTTACATTCTAAATCATTCCCAATATAATTTCTTTTTTATTGTATCTCTAGCATTCTCTATCTTGGTTGGTTTCTCTCAATCTCTTTGCCTCTCTTTGTCACTTTATCATTAAATTCGAAAACACATAAACATAAAATTATTAAGACTCATATAGTTACCTTTCTTCCGGTGCGCCTCTCGTACGGTACACGTTTCCACCCCTGCTACTCGTTATGATTAAAATAATTATGCCTGAAATTTTTTTTTAACAATTAACAGTAAGCCAAAACTTAGTGAGTAAAACATGTATCCAAATTACAGTAATTTAAGTCAGATGGAGTAATATGCTAAATACCACTTAAACATATCATAAATTTGCTTCCTATTAAACATAACATTAAACATACACATAAATCATAAATCCATATCATGCATATTCATTTGATATGTAGTACAACCTTCACATGAGTCACTGTCTAGTACCATAAATGTACTCTTTTACCATTTCCTTACTTTTGCATGCTAAAACTTTCCATTCATCAAATTAATATTTATGTAAAACTAATTTTTGGATTTATTAATTTTAAAAATTAGAAAAATATCATTTCGTGAGAAAAACCTAATTTATTCCCTTAGGAACCCTCTTAGGACCCTTAGAAACTATGTTTGTAAAATCACTTTCAAAATTTCAAACTTTAGGAAAAAACCCTAATTTTTCCAACTCAATAATTTTGAAGAAAAACCTCATTTCCATGCATAAAATTATCTCATAAACCTTCCCTATACATCTCCTAAAGAAATGAGAAGTTTTTGTCAAACCCTAACTTTTTCTTTTCAAGAAAAAGTCATGAAACATAAGAAATAACTTGATTAGAAACTCACCCTAGCCTCCTTGAATCTCCCTTTTCCATTTCCCCTAAGCCTGGCCGCCAGAAACCGCCGTCGAAGCCGCTCACAAAGTCCTCCCTTTGCCTAGCCCGTTCGCCTTCTTCCTTTCTTCCGCTCGGTTCGGCCGTACGAAATAATGGAGACCGAATTTCATTCGATCCCCTAATAAGAGTGGGAGGAAAGGTTAGGTGCATAAAGTCTTAATTACCTCTTGCATGCATTATTTAATTTTAATTTCAATAAGGGTATTTTAGGTATACTCAAACTTCTATAATTTTTAACTTCCAAAAATAAGCAAAATTCAATATAAGTCCTTTATATCGTTTTGCTCGAAATTTTGCATAGAGTTTTATAAAATTATTTTCGTCAAATTCTGACAACTTTGAAAAATTCGCATAAATCTCATTGCGCCACATTGAAAAGCGTGCGATGTCTAAAATTGACATTTTTCAGGTTTTACAGTAGTGCACGTACACCGACCCATTTTACACACTGAAATGGTAGATCATACATAATAATGCAAGCTGTGAGTAGATCACATAACTCTTGGTGGTCAAACTTGTTATCTGTTAAGGAAGTAGGTGAGCAAGAAGTTGACAACAAATTTAGTTGGCCTATGTCATGAGTGCTTCTCTTTTACAAGCTTACAGATGACATTTCAAATTACTAGTCCCATTTTTACTATGACATTGTTATATAGTGTCACATTTTTGCATTTACGTCTTTATTTGCCATCAGCAGCCAATGATAACATCTCATAATGACCTCATACAGTTGAAATCATCATTCTTTTCTCCTTAACAACTTTATCCCCATCCTTTTCTTTCTCAGCGGTGTCACAAAAATCAACATGATCAACTTCATTAGCTTCTATTTCAATTTCATTTTGACCACTTACAGCATTTACATTTTCAGTAAAAGGTTTACTTTCAACGGCAGTATTCGAGTCCTCCAT